TTACTTTGCATTAAGAATTCAACAGCACGTTTTATTTGGCTCATTTCTACTGTACATATTATATCATCAAAGGTTATTTTCTCAAACTTAAGGAAATTCCCTTCAGAACCGAAAGACAAACTACTGGTTTAACAGGCTGAACTCATGTTGATATATATGAAAACTGTGGAGTTCCCCTTCAAACACAGGTCTGATATCACTCTCTCATCAGGTGATGGCTGAACCCAGAATGTCTTCCATCGATGGGCAGCTAGCTGAAGAATTTGCCGCTCCCTCCCACGTCGAGGAGGTTAAAGAGAAGATGGCTGCCTTTGCCGGGCATCATGCAGCAGAAGGTCGCCGTGTGGTTCTCATCACATCAGGAGGCACCAAAGTTCCCTTAGAGTCTCGCACTGTTCGCTTCCTTGACAACTTCAGCAGCGGCAGACGAGGAGCCTCCTCAGCTGAGTATTTCATAGAGTCGGGCTACGCCGTCATCTTCCTACACAGGCACCGCTCGCTTTACCCCTACACACGCATGTTCTCAACCAACAACATGCTGGATGCCCTGAAGTTCACATCTGGAGAAGGTGCATCCAGTAACTCCGGCGAAGTGGTGGTTAACCAGCAGGTGCTTCCGAACATTGGCAAAGTGCTGAAGCGATACCAGGAAGTGAAAGAAAGCAGACTTCTTCTCCCCATCGAGTTCAGCACTCTGTCAGAGTATCTGCATCTACTCAAAGCAGCAGCGCAGGCACTCAACACAATAGGTACAAATTAACAAGTTGCAGGTTGAAGTGGTGGCTCTTATCAGGGCGGTTGTTCATAACTTGTCCTCAAATGTTTTTATTCTGCACGTAGGATCCAAGGCCATGTTTTATTTGGCTGCAGCAGTGTCTGATTTCTACATCCCAGCATCCGAGATGCCTGAACACAAAATCCAGTCTTCCAATGGACCTCTTCAAGTGAGTGCAACAAATAATAAAGCCAGCACTTTGGTGATCCCTTAACTTTTTTATCTAGCAACATTAACATACAAAGACCTGCAGGAAAAGACCTGAAACAGACCAGCTTAGCATCAGCATATTAGCATTATCATTGTGAGCATATTAGCATGCTTCGGTTAGCAGCTTAGTCTAACCATCATTCTGCCCAAGTAAAGCCTCAGAGCTGCTTGCATGACTGTAAACTCTTGTTATTAATGAGAATATACTATATATTTTTTTCCCCTTTCAGCTCAGCATGAACATGGTCCCCAAGATACTGTCCCCACTGGTGAAGGACTGGGCACCTCAAGCATTTGTCATATCTTTTAAGCTTGAGACAGACGTAGCCATCCTGCTGGACAAGGCTCGACGGGCTCTGGACACCTACAGGCACCAGGCGGTAGTGGCCAACGTACTGGACACTAGACGGGGTTATGTGGTGGTGGTGACCCCTGAGACTCAGGCTGAGCTGATCCTCACAGAGGAGGATGAGAAAAATGAAGTGGAGATAGAGGACAGGATAGTGAGCAACCTGACATCGGCACACAACAAGTTCATAACTCAACAAGGGGGCTGACGGCAAACGACTACACTGCATGTTTGAGTCAATGACGCAGCTGTATGTTGTTGTCTGTGCTCTTAACTGAACCTGATCCTGAGCTTGGCTTTTCATACTTGTTGTATGGTTGCATAACCTTAGAAATAACTGTAACTATAAACACATCAAGCTTTCCCTTGTCCTTTTTAATGTGCTCTTAAAAAAGGGCCTCTAAGCTTATAAAGGCTGTCTCTGTACAGGGACAATATACAAGTTATTGAAAGTTTAGAAAATGTTTATTCACAGTGCGCAATTATCTTGCACAGAAAAAAACATTTTGATGTCTTTTCTACAACAATGATTAAAAGTTGAATAATTCTGTCAAATGCATTACTACAAGAGTCACCTATAATAAACATTTACAAGTACAGTCCATTGGTGTTTTCTCATGCTTACACTTGGCAGTGGCATATTTTGGATTCTCTCTTGGTTACTTAAGTTTGACGCTCTTCTTGACACCAGCACGAATACCAGACATCTCTCCGCTGTATCTCTTCTCCTCACGACGAACCTCACGGACCTGGCGAATATAAAAAAAAAAAAAAAAGTCTCAATATTGATCTTGGGAACGCGTTTGACATATGGACATATATTCTTTATTCAAACTGATAAGCCCGCAGACAAACCCTGGAAGCTTTATGACGCGCTTCAACAGTGTGATAAAGATGTTCTCATCAATGTGTGGAATACAAACCTGGCCCTTTCTGCGGATTTTGGCCCGTCTGAACTTCTCTCTGTTCTTGACTCTGGGATTACGGTCAATTTTCTTCCTTTTTGGTGTGAGCCCCTTGTTCTTGGCCATCTGTGGAATTGGTAAAAGCACATACTTAGAACAACTGCTCAGAAGTGACAAAGTAACATGAAATGCATTAAGTGAATACAGTATAAATAAGTATGAGAATACTGAAATGTATATAAAAAAAAACAAAAACAAAAAAAAGATCTTGAATATTCACTTAAACCTAAAATCTAAAGGGGTCGAAGACTGCAGCCAATAATAAATTAATAATAATAAATTACATGAGCAACAGTTAGTGACTGCTAAGCTTGCTCTGATGTACAGACATTAGCAAATTAGTTTGAAGTTGCAGTGTTGAAACAACTGGACATCCACTGTAATCCATATTTTTGTACTAAATAGATACAGTGTGTCACACATACCTATGAGTACCAGAGCAGATGGCGCCCTCATGTGACCAAAAAAAACTATAGTTAATTATATGTTTGAGACTTTTCTTTAGACAAAGAAAGTCCACAAAGTAACTCAGTACCTGGTAAGTGATTCCTCTCTTGGCATCTGGGTCAGGCTCTTCCTCCTCATCTTCATTGTCTTCCAACCTTCAAAAAATTGACAATTTATCAAATGCCACAGTTGATTTTGTCCCAACTGTCATTTGAAGACTCAAATCATACTTACTCCTCAGCTTCTGGTGTGTTGCCTTTCCTCTTCAGTTTCAACCGCTCCTCTACGTCTCTGTAGAAACGCAAAGCCGCTTCCTCGTCCAGGTCAGAGTCCGAGCCCTCCTCATCCTCAGGCATAGTTTCTCCAGAATCCTGCTAAGAAATGCATTACATCACATTAAACATCAGTAACAGATTCAAATTGAGGATACCCTTCAGGTATGTGAATCCTTTATATAAAAAAAAAAAAAAATCCCACCTTTTCCTTCTTACTGGAGACTCTGGTCGTCTTGCCCTCTGCTGGTCTGCTGGTGGCCTTATCTTTCTCCTCACCACTCAGTAGTTTGCGGAACTGTGGCGCAAGCCGAGCATCTACCGAGCCTAGTTCATTGATGAGCTGCAGGCAGAAGAGTCAGAACGAGAGAGGGTTGTCACTAATGCAGATGTGTGTGTAACTTTACTGTATGCCCCACTGGCAGCAGGTGTTAATGTCAATGTGTGGACTTACATTTCTGTATGTGAGCAGTCTTTCAATAACAGGATGGTTATGAGCCGGGATTCGTTTTGCTTTCAGCACCATATAGAAACTGATGTTTGTGCAGTAACTGTGGCAGGAAACAATCATTAGTCATTCAATGAAGGACTGCGACATGTTTTCTGCTATGTGTAATTACTATTTAATTACAACTTACTTCAGATACAGTTGCTGTTTTGTCTTGAGGTAGTCAGCACCCTTTGGAAGACAGGATGGAAATTATTCACAAACTTGATTACCATATCTACATGACATTATTAATGTTTCTTGGTACTCTCCAACACACATTAACACTACATGCTTACAACACAGCTCCAAACATCACATTTAAAATACAACTACACAGATTAAAAAAAAACATTAATAGTGCAGCTTCAGATTCAGGTGATAATTCTCTGATTACAACAAGTGACATCTTTCATTTTGATTTGATACACTGAAACAATATGGACTATAGTCGCTTTAAAAGTAAAGTGTGGTGACAAATTCACAGCTAGAAATTAAGCTTAATGAACTCACCTTTCCTGGTGGGATCTTTCCGTCCTTGACCATCTGTACAAGAGGCTGCAGCTCATCCTTGAGTTCAGTGAGCTGCACAGAGAAGTGGTAACAAAATTAATTCACAATAATTACATGCTGGTCTGTAGTAAGTAAGTATCGTTTGGCTTATTAATTCTGAGGTCTTCTTACCTTTGCCTTGAAGTCCTGAATAAGTTCTAGCAGCTCTGGTGACTCCTTCTTCAGAAGTTTCATTTTTTCCTTCTTGGACATCTGCTTCAGGTCTTTCACAATCCTCTCCTCCTTTTCTACAGTTTTGTTTTCTTCCTTCTCCTCCACAGCAAATTCCTTCATTCAGACAACGACATAAAACAACCAAAGTAAACAAAAAACTTTTTTTTTTTTTCAATCATTACAGGTGGAGTTAACAGGAAGTATACAGGAGAGATTTGCAATAAAAAAAATACCTGAAAAAAGTTTAAATCATAATCCTCCTCGCTCAGATTTGCAGCTAAACGTTTTTGGATATTTTTAGCCTCTTCTTCTTCCTCCTGTTCCTCAGCTTCCAACTCTTCTTGCGTTTTCCCTTCTGTAAAAAAACAATTAAAATGTTGCATGAGCAAACGTCAGCCAAACAACAGAATGATCATTGATTCCCTCAATAATATTGCTGGAGATAAAAAATGCTTACTGGTGGACACATAGTCCGTGTCATAGAACATCTTCTTCTTGGTGCCCCACGCCATTTCATTAGGAAGATCTGAGGAAACCGGCAAATTTACAGTTAAAAGTGCTTGTATGACAGCAAAACAAATCCTGGATACAACCTGATGATTTTACATTTACCTTCTTCTTTTTTCCCCTCTAGATCACTCTCCATGTCTGTCCCCTCTTCCTCATCCTCAGACTCCGAATCGTCCAGCGCCATCACTTCCTCCTATGAAATTAAGAACAGCTTGATTTTGTTCTAAAGTTACATTAATTATTTGAAGGTAAATCAAAACAAACACATAAGTCATCACCTCATCATCCAGCTCCTCCAGGTCGCTCTCCATTTGAACACCGCTGGCGAGAAGTTTCTGTAGCAAAGAGAGCACAACAAAAACAGTTAAGAGAACATAGAAACAGCAACATACGTATACATATACACATGTACCACAGAACTATTAATGAGGTAAACTTACTGCAATCTTATCATCGTGAAACTGATCGATTTTGTCCTTTGTGTACTGCGATGATTTCTAAAAAGAAAAGAGGAGACATGTTAAAATGTGACTGTCAGCACTGCTGAAAATAACGACTG